GAAACTTTTTTGGAGGACCATTTTAGTAACCGAAGTTGTTTGTTCTCTTTTGCTAGGGGTACCTTCCCCATTCTTTCCAGGGATCCTTCTTTCCACGCATTCTCCGGAAACCCAAAAAATACGGCAGGTGTTGGAAAAGATCGATGATTGAAAGGAATGGAATTGGAATCAACCCTGGATTTTTGTTTTTGGGTAAACCAAGCTTTTTTGGTAAACCAATTTGTTTTGTTTCTTGTTTGGCTGCGGATCTACTCAGGAAGTGAGATAGTGGCTCCACTCGCCGCGCCCAGGTGACGAGTGGGCGGCGCTGGAGCTCTTCTGTCGTCCCTGGGTCCTGGTGTCTGGCGGGGTGGAGCTTCTCCGGGTCGAGGAGTTCGTGGACCCCTGCATCCGCGTCATGATGGGCGGCTCGGCGAAGGAAGACATGGCCAGTGAACCTCCCAATGCAACCACTAAAATAGGTTCTAAAATTGGTGGTGCACCGAACACCCCCAAAATGGTCCTTTAAGGGAGAATCGCAATGGCTGTGGTGGTCAAAACCGTTTTGGGATCCCTTTTTTGATTGTGGGTGAATTCACCACCCATGTTAGAACCTATTTTAGTGGGGATTGGGATGTTCACTGGGGGTACGGGATTTTGACCCGTAGCCAAATCTGAGCCTCTGACTTGCGAGCGAGCGGGGCCCCTGAGAAATGGCTCATGAGCCCGAGGAGAAAACCGTGCAACTGCTGGTTTCCTTTATTCGGGAATTCCTGATTCCATTTCGCATTCCCTACCTATCGCACCAGCAAGATGATGGGCTGACTCGCGGGAGCCATGGCAGAAAGGCAAGTGGTGACCCTGGAGTAATAATTACTCTCCCCGATGAATGGGGTGTTCCCTCCAACCGTGTTATTAGTCAACCAAGGTTTATTCAATCCGAGGACAGAGTGACTAGCATATTCCGGGCTATGAAGATTGGAATATGATGGTCCCAATTGGTGAGCTTTCCCGATCCGAGGGTAAAACGAACGGAAGCCTTGATGTAGGTCCTGTACACGTGCTTTTGTTCTTGAAATTAGGCTTTGGAATGATTGTACAAAAGCAAAGTGCCGGGACCCTCAAACTAAGAACAATGGGAAAGTGCTTGAGGTGCGTTTCCTTTGTTGCAGGTAGTTTGAGCGTCCAGGCGAAGCTGGACATCCTTTTTCATCTTGGTTTAACGGGAAACCAACCGGCAAACGAGAATCGCCATTTGTTGGAGTCCAAGTTTCTATTTTGACGCGTAGCAACGCAACATGATCTCAAACTAGTGCCACATCAGCGGCCCGCGTGAAGACTCCAGGATGTTTCTTACTACGGGGAAACCGCCTTTTTTGGGGGTTGGTTCAAAGAAACACCAAAAAGGTAACATCGACGCTCTGTCGAGTCTTTTACCAGATAGAGACTGCGGTTGGTTGCTAGGGACACCAGAAGGACCTTTTTGTTTTTTGAAAGTTTGTCTATTTGCCCAAAAGCCAGTGTTGGTCCCTGTGATGTCCGTTTCCTCACTTCGACAGTGACCGGGCCCCGAGGCGGGGGTTGATTTGATGACACAGCACTGCTGGATAGCACCTGGTTGGATTCCGTTGAACTCCCTGATTGTTTGGATCCATTAGTTAGTGAAACCATGGCCATGTTGGACCCTTGCATGGATGATGTCTCACAATTGAGCCTTTACTAACGGTTCATGAACCCATAAACTGTGGGGAGGGGTTCATACCAGGGGTTAATATATTCCCTTTGACCTGAAGCACGCGCAGCATATTGTAAGCAACCACCTGCTCCCGTTGCTGTTTGGCTCATTGGCCAGTTTTTGAATCATCCCACGTCGACCCAAAGTTAGGGGCCGCGGGCTCTGATTCTTCCTATTTTTCCGCGCTGGCGTTTTGGGGACGCCTCGGAGCGCCGGAGTGTCGGGCTCGGCGCCCGGCGCCCGCATGTGCCATGAGCGCCCAGCGCGCCCAGCACGCGGAGCGCGCCGAGCACCGGGTGAAGGTGTTCCTCAAGGCGGTGACGCGAGTGCCGCAAGTCCTGGAGCTTCTGGTACAGAGGCGGGGAGTGCTTCCATGCCAAAGCGGATCCGGATCCGGACTGAAGAAAAAGGGGCACTGAAGTGATGTTGTCTTTAAGTGGGGTTGTTCCGAATCCCATTTTGAGATCATCTCGATCTCGACATTGGGATTGTCCTTCAATACCAACAGTGTTGTCTTTTGGGGATCCATCAGTTTGGGGAAACAGTAGGGGTCCCTTTGAAGACTTCAGCACCTGGCGTCGGTCAGGTTTCAGGCGTCCGTAGCTCTTTCCGGGCTCCGGAGGGCCCAAATCGCAACGCGGGAGGTTGCGGGGGTTCCCCAAGACTGCCAGTCAGGTAGGCTTCCCTTGGAGTCGTCTCAAGAAGCAAATCCCGACAGGCGACGGAAGGAGCTCTGGGGCGAGGAGGCCAGTTTTGACGGGCCCAATCCGGAGACGACTGCTGCACTTGGGTTTGTCAACTTCGGGTGGTACCGATGCCCTTTTTAGGGGTGGCTGTAACACGTTCTGGGAGGTGGTTTTGGATGGTACCCTCCCTCCAACCATCATGGAAAAGCTGACGATGGGAGGGTTTTGGAAGACTATTTTGGGGAACCCCTCGGTCCACTTCCATGATTGGATTGTTGCAAAGAGGGACCGTTGTTAGGGGTGGTTTTTGACAGAAAGGTACGTTCTGGGAGGTTGTGTTTTTGCAAGAGCTGCTTATTTTAGCTGTTTCTCAGTGTTTTTGTCTTAGTCACGTGTTGATCCGGGCTTTGCATATGTATTTTGGGACAGTCCCCAACTTTTTGGGGGGCCTCACAAATGCGAGGCGGTGCCAAACAAAAGCGAATCCTGATACGCCCACCTCAAACAAGCTTGAGACTGTCCAAGACAAAGAAACTCAAAAGAATCCTTGGAGGTGCTGGGCAGGCCAAGTGCTTTTGGGTCTGGGCATGTCAGGATTGGTTTTCTTTTCTTTTTTGGGGAGTGAAACAATTTGTAAGGCTAACCCCAGAAAAGTGTGGAACTGTCCAAAAGCAATCCGGAAAAGCCCAGACCAAAACATAATCAAGACTGCCACAGAAAACCTGCTTCAGCTTCGCCGCAGTTGGGCCCTTGAACTTTGCTGCGGGTTCGATCCGGACATTGATCACCGCCAGGCGAGGAAGCACTCAATCCATACACAACTGCATCTACCTCATAATGTTTGCAGAGCATATGCAGCTAGCCAGAGGCCAAGCAAATGCAAGACACGGCCACCCAGCCAAGGCATAGCAAAGCAAAGACATAGCAAGGCAAAGCCATAGCAAGACAATGGCATAGCAAGGCAAAGACAGCAAAGCAAAGGCATAGCAAGACAATGGCATAGCAAGGCAAAGGCATAGCAAGGCAAAGGCATAGCAAGACAATGGCATAGCAAGGCAAAGGCATAGCAAGGCAAAGACATGGCAAAGCAAAGCCATAGCAAGACAATGGCATAGCAAGGCAAAGACAGCAAATCAAAGGCATAGCAAAGCAAAGACATGGCAAAGCAAAGCCATAGCAAGACAATGGCATAGCAAGGCAGAGACAGCAAAGCAAAGGCATAGCAAGACAAAGACATGGCAAAGCAAAGCCATAGCAAGACAATGGCATAGCAAGGCAAAGACAGCAAAGCAAAGGCATAGCAAAGCAAAGACATGGCAAAGCAAAGACAGCAAGACAATGGCATAGCAAAGCAAAGACATGGCAAAGCAAAGGCATAGCAAAGCAAAGACATGGCAAAGCAAAGCCATAGCAAGACAATGGCATAGCAAGGCAAAGACAGCAAAGCAAAGGCATAGCAAAGCAAAGACATGGCAAAGCAAAGCCATAGCAAGACAATGGCATAGCAAGGCAAAGACAGCAAAGCAAAGGCATAGCAAAGCAAAGACATGGCAAAGCAAAGCCATAGCAAGACAATGGCATAGCAAGGCAGAGACAGCAAAGCAAAGGCATAGCAAAGCAAAGACATGGCAAAGCAAAGACAGCAAGACAATGGCATAGCAAAGCAAAGACATGGCAAAGCAAAGGCATAGCAAAGCAAAGACATGGCAACGCAAAGCCATAGCAAGACAATGGCATAGCAAGGCAAAGACAGCAAAGCAAAGGCATAGCAAGGCAAAGACATGGCAAGGCAAAGACATAGCAAGACAAAGGCATAGCAAGGCAAAGACAGCAAAGCAAAGGCATAGCAAGACGATGGCATAGCAAGGCAAAGACAGCAAAGCAAAGACATAGCAAAGCAAAGACATGGCAAGGCAAAGGCATAGCAAGGCAAAGACAGCAAAGCAAACGCATAGCAAGGCAAAGACATGGCAAGGCAAAGGCATAGCAAAGCAAAGGCTTGTAAAGCAACACATGGCAAGGCAAAGACATAGCAAAGCACCGGCATAGCAAGGGAAAGACATAGCAAAGCAAAGGCATCCAAAGCAAATACATAGCAAAGCAAAGACATGGCAAGGCAAAGACATAGCAAGACAAAGGCATAGCAAGGCAAAGACATGGCAAAGCAAAGCCATAGCAAGACAGTGGCATAGCAAGGCAAAGACAGCCAAGCAAAGGCATAGCAAAGCAAAGACATGGCAAGGCAAAGACATAGCAAGAGAAAGGCATAGCAAGGCAAAGACAGCAAAGCAAAGGCATAGCAAGACAATGGCATAGCAAGGCAAAGACAGCAAAGCAAAGACATAGCAAAGCAAGGACATGGCAAGGCAAAGGCATAGCAAGGCGAAGACATGCCAAGGCAAAGGCATAGCAAAGCAAAGGCACGTAAAGCAAGACATGGCAAGGCAAAGACATAGCAAAGCAAAGGCATAGCAAGGGAAAGACATAGCAAAGCAAAGGCATACAAAGCAAATACGTAGCAAAGCGAAGACATGGCAAAGCAAAGACATAGCAAAGCAAAGGCTTAGCAAAGCAAAGACATAGCAAAGCAAAGGCATAGCAAAGCAAAGACATGGCAAGGCAAAGACATCGCAAAGTAAAGGCATAGGAAGGCAAAGACATAGCAAAGCAAAGGCATAGCAAGGCAAAGACATAGCAAAGCAAAGGCATAGCAAGGCAAAGACATAGCAAAGCAAAGGCATAGCAAAGCAAAGACATAGCAAGGCAAAGACATAGCGAAGCAAAGGCATAGCAAAGCAAAGACATAGCAATGCAAAGGCATAGCCAAGCAAAGGCATAGCAAAGCAAAGGCGTAGCAAAGCAAAGACATAGCAAAGCAAAGGCATAGCAAGACAAAGGCATAGCAAGGCAAAGACAGCAAAGCAAAGACATAGCAAAGCAAAGGCATAGCAAAGCAAAGACATAGCAAAGCAAAGGCTTAGCAAAGCAAAGACATAGCAAAGCAAAGGCATAGCAAGGCAAAGACAGCAACGGAAAGCCAAAGCAAGACAATGGCATAGCAACGCAAAGACATGGCAAGGCAAAGACATAGCAAAGCAAAGGCATAGCAAGGCAAAGACATAGCAAAGCAAAGGCATAGCAAGGCAAAGACATGGCAAGGCAAAGACATAGCAAAGCAAAGGCATAGCAAGGCAAAGACATAGCAAAGCAAAGGCATAGCAAAGCAAAGACATAGCAAAGCAAAGGCATAGCAAAGCAAAGCAACGCGAAGACATAGCAAAGCAACGGCATAGCAAGGCAAAGACATAGCAAAGCAAAGGCATAGCAAGGCAAAGGCATAGCAAGGCAAAGACATGGCAAGGCAAAGACATAGCAAAGCAAAGGCATAGCCAGGCAAAGACATAGCAAAGCAAAGGCATAGCAAAGCAAAGACATGGCAAGGCAAATGCATAGCAAAGCAAAGGCAAAGCAAGGCAAAGACAGCAAGGCACAGGCATAGCAAAGCAAAGACATAGCAAAGCAAAGGCATAGCAAGGCAAAGGCATAGCAAGGCAAAGACATAGCAATGCAGAGGCATAGCAAGGCAAAGACATGGCAAGGCAAAGGCATAGCAAAGCAAGGGCATGTAAAGCAAGACATGGCAAGGCAAAGACATAGCAAAGCAAAGACATAGCAAAGCAAAGGCATAGCAAGGCAAAGACATAGCAAAGCAAAGGCATAGCAAGGCAAAGACATAGCAAAGCAAGGCATAGCAAAGCAAAGACATAGCAAGGCAAAGACATAGCGAAGCAAAGGCATAGCAAAGCAAAGACATAGCAATGCAAAGGCATAGCAAAGCAAGGGCATAGCAAAGCAAAGGCGTAGCAAAGCAAAGACATAGCAAAGCAAAGGCATAGCAAGACAAAGGCATAGCAAGGCAAAGACAGCAAAGCAAAGACATAGCAAAGCAAAGGCATAGCAAAGCAAAGACATAGCAAAGCAAAGGCGTAGCAAAGCAAAGACATAGCAAAGCAAAGGCATAGCAAGGCAAAGACAGCAACGCAAAGCCAAAGCAAGGCAATGGCATAGCAACGCAAAGACATAGCAAGGCAAAGACATAGCAAAGCAAAGGCATAGCAAGGCAAAGACATAGCAAAGCAAAGGCATAGCAAAGCAAAGACATGGCAAGGCAAAGACATAGCAAAGCAAAGGCATAGCAAGGCAAAGACATAGCAAAGCAAAGGCATAGCAAAGCAAAGACATTGCAAAGCAAAGGCATAGCAAAGCAAAGCAACGCAAAGACATAGCAAAGCAACGGCATAGCAAGGCAAAGAGATAGCAAGGCAAAGACATAGCAAGGCAAAGGCATAGCAAAGCAAAGACATGGCAAGGCAAATGCATAGCAAAGCAAAGGCATAGCAAGGCAAAGACAGCAAGGCAAAGACATAGCAATGCAGAGGCATAGCAAGGCAAAGACATGGCAAGGCAAAGGCATAGCAAGGCAAAGACATAGCAAAGCAAAGACATAGCAAAGCAAAGGCATAGCAAAGCAAAGACATAGCAAAGCAAAGGCTTAGCAAAGCAAAGACATAGCAAAGCAAAGGCATAGCAAGGCAAAGACATAGCAAAGCAAAGGCATAGCAAAGCAAAGACATAGCAAGGCAAAGACATAGCGAAGCAAAGGCATAGCAAAGCAAAGACATAGCAATGCAAAGGCATAGCAAAGCAAGGGCATAGCAAAGCAAAGACATAGCAAAACAAGACATAGCGACATAGCAAAGCAAAGGCATAGCAAAGCAAAGACATAGCAAAAGACATAGCAAAGCAAGCATAGCAAAGCAAGACATAGCAAGGCAAAGACATAGCAAGCAAAGGCATAGCAGCAAAGACATAGCAAGCAAAGCATAGCAAAGCACATAGCAAAGCAAAGACATAGCAAAACAAAGACATAGCGAAGCAAAGGCATAGCAAAGCAAAGACATAGCAATGCAAAGGCATAGCAAAGCAAGGGCATAGCAAAGCAAAGACATGGCAAAACAAAGACATAGCGAAGCAAAGGCATAGCAAAGCAAAGACATAGCAATGCAAAGGCATAGCAAAGCAAGGGCATAGCAAAGCAAAGACATAGCAAAACAAAGACATAGCGAAGCAAAGGCATAGCA